AGGCATAACATAACATTTTCAAATCTTATAAATTGACTATTGACATTTATGCAATTGTTGAAAGCGACTATATCACTAGAAAAAGAAAATGGAGCTCAAGAGGGTTCTAGTGATGAATGTATATTCGTCATTGGCTTAATAGCGGCAAACGTCCCTACGTTTGACTCATATTGTGGAAAACGTCCCTACGTTCCTTTTTTTTTTTTTTTGCATTTTTGTCCTTATTTCAACGTAGGTTATGATGTAAACATTGGATTAAATTGTTATCAACAATCAAATTCAAATGATCGACTTGAAAGCAACATAGGCAGTTGGAAGTAATTTAAACAATTAATGTTACTCACGACCCATATATATTACCCCTTGGATGATTTTGAATTTTAGCCCATTTAAACCTCTTATTGGTTCAACTAAAGCAGAATCAAACCTATATATATAGTGTCTTTACCCTAACCGTAAAGTGTGTGTGATTTGTGTGAAAATGAGGAAAAACGTGGCTGCTTCTTCCTGCGAAAGTTGGTTGCCATATTGAGAAGAAAAATTGGTGACTTCCCTTTAATTTCTGGTCTCTTCTCTTACGTTCTTTCGTTGTTTTTCTTTTTGCCTTTGTGGCTATAAATCATCACCATAATCTTATCATTTGTGAGTGAGATTGAGGAGCAATCGAGGTGAATATATTTGTTACGGATTTTAGCCGTTTGGATTGATTATTTAGTAGGAAAGGTAATATAAAACTGAGCCTGAAAATCATCATTTTGACGATCCTTGGAATAAGCTTCCGTGACACTTGTCATATTTTAACTTAAAAGTTATGTCATTACATAAGAATTACAAAAATCGTGTAAAATAATTTTGGATATTAGTTATTATTTTTCAGCTTACAATTAATTTTTTATTCACTTTAAGTTGGATTATCAACTTTTATATCATTCTAAGTCCTTGTTTGGGTTTAATTATAATAAGAATATAATGAAGAGTAGTAATATGTCTCACAAAATATGTGAATAAGTGAGTTATAATTGTGAATGTGTGATAAATATTAATGCTTGACTTTGCCTTCAAATTATAAGGAAATTATAACGAAACTCAAACAAGAACTAAAACCTAAAACTATTTAGGAATGTGTGCATAATTTTCTTAAATTTTTTCTTTTAAATGAGGTTAAACTTTAAATGTATATATACATAATGTTAAGAAAGATAGTTTTTTTTTTTTTTTAAAGAAAAAAACTTGCAGTTAATAATCTACTCAAGAGAGGCTATATAAATTTAATTTGTGGAGAGATTATTACATACAAGAGTTCCTCATTCTCTTCATAGGGCTAGCAGTTGGTGATTTGCAGTATAATTACTTCCTATATTACATAGATCATCATTTTGATAGTTCAAATTATTAATTACGCATATGTACCATGACTGTATGGGCACACATTAACTCTAGTAGCCTACTGGGAACTATACATCGTTTTTCTTCTCTAGGGCTCTGTTTGGTGGGGATTAAAATCAATTTTTTAGTGGATTTGATAAAAGTTGATAAAATATGATTAAAAAGTTTTGGGTCCTATAAAATTAAATTATAAAAGAGAAAAAACATTAGACGAAAAAGAGAATAGCTTAAATTCTGGAAAATTATAAAATAGTAAAAAATGTGAACTGTTACATAATTTGAAAAATAGGTTAAGATTTGTGTACTTTCGTATTTTTAACTATTTATAATGACATATTTGTAATTTTCTTTGTCATTCATTACCATTTAATAAAGAATAATAAGTAAAATAAAAAAAAAAAAATTTAATGTGACCCCGTGCGCAGACGGGGAGAATTACACTGGGAGATGGGTGCTCCCCGTGCTCGCACGGGGACTTTAATTTTCCCGGGAGTTAATTTGTCTCCGTGTGCGCACTGAGAGTTCCACACACACTGAGAGTTTCGAAAATGTTTTTGATTGAAGTCCATGTGGCGGTAGTATCTGAGCCACACGGACACTTCATTCCATGGCCATGGGAGAGGGAAGTTTCTGGGCGACACAAACACTTCACTCCGTGCCGCACGAACACGAAGATATTTATTCCTAATGTAGAAGCTAAGGAAGAAACCCGCAATTAGATCAATTATGAACGTGCAAACAATAAATCCACATTTAATGGTTACGGCATCGGTGAGATATCCAAAGCGAAAAGAACAGGATGCATGAATATCGTATATTGCCTGGCGAAAAAGGATAATTTAGCATATTTTGTAATTCAAATTTTCGTCATTTTGTCTCAAGTAACCCCAAAAAAAAAAAAAAAAGGGAGTAAATGCTAATTAAGGTTTAGTCGAAAACTACCTGCACCATTTTATCTTGTAGTCAAAATTGTCTTGAACTCGATGTGAATTGATACTTTTTTACACACATTTTATGCCTGGTATTTGACTATTAATGAAGCATGCTTCATGTTTTATTGTTTCCTCTTTTTGCAAGCAATTACACTCTCAAGTGGATCTTCATCTTTTGTACACGATTTTATTGTTAAACTTCACTACTCTCATGAATTTTATATGTCGAGTTGAATGCTCTTGTCATCTATCGCAGGGAGCCACCATTGTGGATCAACCTTACGAGGATGATGTTGATCTGTGGAATCGAACTTCATGGTACCATGAAGATGAAAATGGTTCAAATGTATGCATATATATATTTCTTTTATATTTTTGTTCAATATGTTTGGCCCCTTCCTAATTTTTAGTAATTCATTTACCATTTTAGCAGCATTCGCTTGGGCACTTGTTTGTTTCATCTGCAGAGGACTTGGACAAACCGTTAGTCACACATGACTTCCTCCGATGATGATGGAGTTGGCCGCACACACTACAATGATCAAGTAAGTCAGGGAAGTAAATATATGAGTGTGAGAGAGTTTTAAAAGTAAGCCTCCAATATAAAAAGGGGATCGAATTTGAGGAATAACAAATAGAATTGTGATATGGCAAAGTTATAACTTGGAGAGTTTAAACTTACGTTACTTTCAACTGGCACTAAGTGTGAGCTTTTATAATATAAGAAGATTAATGAGGGTTGTTGGATGAAAAGATACGTAGCCTCATAGTCATTAGTGCGGTTAATGCCTCTAATCTTTGACATCAATCAATTATAAGCCTTAATGCTAGTACCACTCTAACATCCATAATACTTAGCTTGTGGCTTTGGATTTGACCGAATAGGCTAGTAGTGACAGCGGTGACAGTGAATTGTCACATCAATCATATATAAAAAAAGATTGCTTCAGAGATCTCGTATTGAGCTTCTTCTGTGGCCTCGCGTCCACCCACAGGCCGACTCTTCCCATGAGGGTTAGTGTGATTCGATAGGGTATGCAAGCATATTGGTTTGGTCACAAGAAGGGATTCAATTAGATCAACTCGTGTTAATATATTCCAAAATGGCATGGGACCTATCTTTGCTTGTCTAGTAGAATATTTGGAGCCTTGTGAATTAAGGCTTAACACAACTCATTTTTCTTTCATTACATGCAAGTAGTACAATCCCATACCCCCCCCCCCCCCCCCCCCCCCCCCCCCCCCCCCCTTTTCCCCCCCCCCCCCCCC